GAAAAAGTAAAAGGACAGTAGAAAGGAACGAAGAAGGAAGGAAGGAAGGAAGGAAGGAAGGAAGGAAGAAAGGGAGGGAGGGAGGGAGGAAGGAAGGAAGGAAGGAAGGAAGGAAGGGAAGGAAGGAAGGGAGGGAGGGAGGAAGGAAGGAGGGAGGGAGGGAGGGAAGGAAGGAAGGAAGGAAGGAAGGGAGGGTGGGTCAAACTTTTCCACAGGCACTGCGTCATTTCACATTTCTTCCTGCAGTGTATCAGGACTCAGTTTCCCTAAATCCTCATTAACACTTTTTTTCCATTGTAGCACAGTCATTTTAATGCGTACAAAGTGGTTTCCAATTTTGGTTTTGACTTTATTTTCATCATGACTGTTCATGGTACACACCTTTTCATACGTTAAGCCGCCTGTTTTCTTTGCATTAGATTTTTGCCCATTTTAATTATTGTCTTATTTTTGAGATTTAATACTTAAAAAAAAACATATTCTTAATACAAGTCCTTTATCAGATACATGCTTTGAACTATTTTTCCCCCAGTCTGTAGTCTGTGTGTACCTGAGTGGTACAGAGCATTTAGGACCTTGTGCATGCCAGACAAGCACTCTACCGCTGAAGTATATTTTTAGCCCTAATGGTGGCTGGTGGTTTTTTTCAATGGTCTTTTGTAGACTAGACTGGCCTCAAACTCACTATGTAGACTAGGAAACTTCTGATCCTCCTGCTTCTACTTCCAGAATGCCAGGACCACAGGTGTGTACCACTATGCAGGGTTTATATGGTGCTGGGAATCAAACTCAGACCTTGTGTATGCTAGGTAAACACTGCCCACCGAGCCACATCCCAGCCCCTTAATGGTGTTTTTCTAGTGCAAAAGTTTTATATTTTGATGAAGTCCGACTCAGTAATATTTCTATGGATTGTACTTTTATGTCTTTCCCATACTTTAACTCTTTCCCAAAACTAAAACAATGTTTTCTCATTTCTTCTAAAAGCTTCATAGTTTTAGCTTTTACATTTATACCTCTGATCTATTTTGAGTTTACTTCTGTGCATAGTGGTGACGACTTAAATCTTTTTTGCTTGATACATCCAAATATCCTAAAGATCATCTTTTCTCACAGAACTGTCTTGGCATCTTTGTGTAAAATAAATTGACCAAAAATGTATGGGTTCATTTCTGGAGTCTCCTGTTCCACTGATCTGTATCCATGTATACGATCACAATCACTGTAGCGGTATATTGCATTTTAATAGTAATCTTTTATGAGAGTATTCATTATACACAATTACAGGTGTAACTATGACTGTATACATGTGTGTAACATATTTTGGTATACTCACACAACTCCATTAATCTTGCTTGACCTCCAGGCGCTACCCCAGTCCTCTTCTCAAATAATTTTTCTTCCATTTTTATCTCTCTTTTAAACTCTAGATTCTGCATGGCAGAGGAAATATATTTGTCTGAGTCTGTCTTATTGCACTTAAAATGATTCCAGTTCCATATACATGTAAATATGATTTCATTCTTCATGACTAAGTAATATTATCTACTATCATCTATTTATCTATTATCTATCATCTATCTACCTATCATCTATCTATCATCTAATATGTCTCACACTTTCTTTATCCATTCATTGAGTGATGGGCACCTAAGTGATTCCCTAATTTGGCCACTGTTGAATAGTGGTGTGGTAAACATGGGTATGCAGGTATCTGTCATATACTGCCTCTGCCTCCTGTGAACCTATTAGGAGTTTGGGGTCAGTTTTCACCATAGAGGACCCTATTTCAAAATAAAATCAAAGAAAGTAAAAATAAAAAGTGAAAATTTTTTTACTATTATAGGTCTTCTGCCTCTTGGGTGCTAGAATTAAAGATGTATGCCACCATGCTTGACCCTAAAATTTATAGGAAACAATCTGGTGATCTGACACGTGCATAGTATGTAATGGTTAAGTAAAAAATTTAACATTTGCATCCCCTTAAATATTTTTAAAAAAGTGTTTAACACAATTAGCTTTCAGGAAAATGCAAATCAAAACCCAAAGGAATTCTTACCCCAGTTAGGATGGCTACATTTTGTTAAAAGACAAAAACCACAGGATTGGGGATGTAACTCAGAGATAGAGTGCTTGTCTAGCGTGTAGGAGGCCCTAGTTCATCCCCAACACCTCTAAAACAAAACAAAGCAGCCAACCAAACTACCAAACACTGAACTTGTGCTGTTGAGGATGTGAAGAAAAGGAAATGCTTACACACTTGGTGGTAAATCAGTCCAGCCACTATGGAGAACTTTGGGGGTTCCTTAGAAAGCTATGTAACCCAGGCTGGACTCAAACTCAAGATCCTCCTATCTCAGACTCCCAAGCGCTGGGATTACAGGCATGTGCTACCATGCTTCACTTGAAAATACAATATGTACACAGAATGGAATATTATTCAGTCATAAGAATGATATACTGTTAGGTGCAGCTAAATGGATGAAACCAGAGGATATTAAATGAAATAAGCCAGACAAAAACAAGTACTGTGCTCTCTCTCATACCTGGATGTTTTACACCTATTTATTTTTATGTGTATTTTATGCCTGCATGTATGTGCATGCAGTGCCCACAGGTCAGAAGAGGTCACTGAAAACCAAACTTGGGGCCCCTGCAAGAGCAGCAAGTGCTCTTAACTGTTGAGACATCACTCCAGTCCCTCTGGATGCTTTAAAAAGCCAATCAGAATGTAAAATGATGATTACCAGAAGCTGCTAAGGGTACAGGGGAGGAAGGACACAGGAAGTAGTAGAACAAAACTTAGAAGTAGTAAGTTCTAATGTACCAGACAGGGATGTGACTGCGGTTCAGTGACCTGTGATCGACTTTATGAAGACCCTGAAGAGAGTACCTCAGACTCTGAGCACCCATCAGCACATACTGTGCTCATGGGCTGAAGGGTCACATTGCTGTTTTGATAGGCACTGCCTGAACTCTGAGGAGAACTGCTATCTTAACAATACTGACCTTTCCAAGTATTAACATGGAGTGTTTACACTTCTGTATGCTTTTTAAAACTGCTCTCAGTGTTTCATAATTTTGATTATTCAAGTTATATTTCTTTTATTAGAGTTATTCCTGATTCTTTTTGATTCTGGTATGAATGGAATGCTCTTGATTTTTAAAAATGTTTTTGAGGCAGGCTCTTATTGTGTAGCTCAGCTGTGCTGGAACTTGCTATTGTAGCACAGGCTTTCCTTGAACTCAAGATCCTCCTGCCTCCATGTACTGAATGCTGGGATCACAGGAAAGTGCCACCACACTTTGTAGAATTTTCTTAATTTCAGTTTTCAAAATTGTATTTTTAATTATGTGTGTGTGTACACAAGTGAGTGCAACTGCATGTAGAAGCCAGAGACACTGGAACACTGAATCCCTCTCGAGCTGGAGTTATAGGTAGCTGTCAGCTCTAGACATGGGCCCTGGGAACTGAACCTGGGTCCTCTGGAAGAGCAGCAAGTGCTCTTTGCCCCTGAGCCATCTCTCCAGCCTCCTAATTTCATTTTTGGTATTTCATTGTGAACAAGCAAAAACACAACTGTTTTTTTGTATACTGATTTTGTTGTGGGTCTGCTGAATTGATTAGTTCTAGTGCACTGTCAGATGAAATGAAAGTGCATCAAAAGTATCACAGAACAACAGGGCAACAACAGGGCAGTGGTGAATTTCAGTCTCTGCAGTCCCTTCCAATAGAGACAGTTTAGCTTGCTGCCTAATGGTCAGCAAACAAAACTCAAGTCTAGAAAGTTTAGGTGGCATGGCCACAGAGCTAATTAGGGGAAGAGCCAAGCAGAGACCGTGTATCGCCACCTCTTGTCCACTGAGCATCCCCCAACCCCCAACCTGTTTCCTGGCCCCTTTCCATCACAGGGCTTTAGTGACAATTGCCCTCTTCTCCAATGTTCAAGAGTATGAGTCTAATTTTATGTTTTTCCCTGCTTGATCTTTCAGTCAAGTCCCCCAAGTTGTCTGAGGCACCTTGTCAACTTCTCTGGAGGTCCTGCTACCTGCATCCTTGATATGCACTTTGGGAAATGATCTGGATTCTAGAGATTATCTCTTTTGAAACAGATGCCATTAAAAAGAAATTCTTGATTTCAACAAGTTCTGGGATTCTGTTTTGGACTTGGGAGTTAACCATGTTGCTCAGGTTATGCAGTAGGATAGTCAGCTTTGAAAAAGAATGGCTAGATGGCTAAAGGGTTTTATCTTAGATCACCTTTATTGACCTAATTATTTGCTGTTATTTAGATGACAGAGTTTATAATAGGTTAAAATAACAAGTAAAAAATTTTTGACAGTAATCATCCAGAAAAATTAGAGGTCATTATATTTTCTTGAATATGCATTCAAGTTTCAATTTAAGACTTCAATTTTCCTTTTCAAATAAAAATCCTGTGTTTAGTAGCTAGGGAGGCAGGGCTTGCTTATTCCTGCCAGAGTAATGGTTCTTCTGTGTCTGAGGAAGTAATTTCCTGCACTTAGGACTCCAAGTTCATGGGCTGAAACTCAGAAGGTAAAGATATTGCTGGGAACAAAGCTAGTCACCAGTCACCCATAACCAGACCATCATTGACTGGAGTCCCAGTTCTAGTGTAGAGAAGTTCATCATCTGTCTTCCTGAGTTATATCTGGAAAACAAAAGACAGTTTGAATAAACCTCCTACTATCAGCTACTATAGCCCATGTTTGTTCCATTTCTTCCCCATAATGTCTGATAGTGGTTTGGTTGGAAGAGACCTAGCTTTGCATTCAACTCAAAGAAAATCCCTTTTGTGTGTCCCATCCCTTGTCAGAATTTTTATACAAACCCTCTTTGCCATGGTTTATAAAAAATCATGCAAACAGAAAAAAATCTACATAAGAAAAGTTATGTAGTAAGATTTCATTCATTCATAATCTTTTCTAATACTGACAGACTCTGGGGCAGGATACACCATTGATTATTCAAGCGAGTGGACAATGTAAACAGTGATCACAGAAGAACTGTTACGTCTACATAAAACATCAGTTGTTGAAGTTCTCAAAACCACTTGACCACCATCTGTTCATACACAAATTTAAAATATGCTAATTAAAGTGACTCTTAATTGGTATCCATTAATTAAAGCAGGTCTAGAAGGATTCTAATTAAGCCTTGTATGTTTTCAATATGTTTGATAAACTTTCCCACCAGTGGACATAAGTGCAACAAACTAACAAATAATGATTAATTAATGGGATCCAACATTCAATAAAAGAATATTTAACCTCACCATATTTTATGGACCTTTAAATGTGTGAGCTTATACCCAGCCTGAGCTTAGCCCCTAAGTAAAACCCTTTGATTCATAGGGTCCTCATATCACTCACCTGAAAAGTCACTAAGTATATGCTGGGAGGGAATAACAGTACCAATTCCTTATATTCTGTTTTCTACAGGATTAGATAATGGGTTGCTGGTCTCCCCCTGTCCCCCTCCTTCCTCAATGGAGCCCAGGGCTTCACACATACTAAGCAAATACCCTACCACTGGGCTATACTTCAGTTCCCTTTCCTGCTTTCCTGCAAAGATTTCTTGCTCAGATATCCTTCCTGAGTACTTAAAAGTTTACTTGAAGGCCGGGTGTGGTGGCGCACACCTTTAGTCCCAGCACTCGGGAGGCAGAGGCAGGCAGATCTCTGTGAGTTCAAGGCCAGCTGGTCTACATAGTGAGTTTCAGGACAGCTGGGGCTACAGGGAGACCCTGTCTCAAAAAGACAAAAAAAAAAATCAAATAATACAAGTAAATGTAAGTGGAGAGATGATGGCTCAGTATTTAAGAGCACTGACTGTTTTCACTGGAGCTGGAGAGATGGCTCAGTGGTTAAGAGCACTGTTTGCTCTTGCAGAGGACCTGAGTTAAATTCCCAGGACCCACATGGTGGCTATCAACCAGTTAGTCAACCAATAACTCCAGTTCCAGGGGAATCTGACACCCTTTTCTGACCTCCATGAACACTGCATGACATAAGTACACTTACATAGATGCAAGCAATAGACTCATACACATAAAATAAAATAAAATGTAAAAAGAAAAAAAAGAGCACTAATTGCTCTGGCAGGGACCGGAGTTCCATTCTCAGGACCCATGTTGGGTGGCTCACAACTGCATGTAACTCTAGCTCCAAGGGGATCCAACACTCTGTCCTCCAAGAGCACCTGTAGTCATGTGCATATACCCACACAGAGACACACATACACATAATTTAAAATAAATCTTTAGTATAAGGGCTGGCTGGTCCCTGGGACTTACATGGTGGAAGGTATAAACCAACTCCCACAAGTCCTCAAACATTCACATGCACGAGCATGCACACGTGCACAGGCACAGACACACAATAATGTAAGAAAAGTAAGCTAAAAATGAAAATATAAAATTGTATGTATCAAGGATGCTCCAGGGTCTAGAGGCAGAGGTAAAGGAGGGATTTTCCTTTTTTATTATACAAGGAATTAAGTGTTGCTTAACTTTTATTTTATGATATGTGTGTATAGCTTTAGTAAGAAAATGAGTGAATAAAAAAAAGAAAATCCTTCCTGAGAGGGTCTCATTTGTACTTTAGGAATAATTTTTTGATAATGACACTAAATCTGCATTTATCTGAGTACAAGAGGAGCATGTGAAATGAGGAGGAAGAGGTGCAGTTAGGGGACATTCTGACGGGCAGTTTGAAAGAGGCAAGGACTTGAGCAGTGTCTCTGGGAGCAGCGCTAAGACTCAGCAAAGGCAGGCGTGACGTTTACCTGTTTATCTGCACCTGAGATGGCTAAAGCTCTGGCTAGGGGTAGGTAGGGGGTAACTTCACTGTCAGAGGCAACAGGACAAGGATGCTCACGGTGCATCCCTGCTGTGAAGATAGAAGGGAACTACTATTTCCTGGGAGGAAACTTATTACATAGGATGCACAGGATGGCCTGAGGTCAGTAACTGATAGTGGGAATGTCCTGGAATGCAAGAGGCAGACTGCTGGCAAGGCTGGGCACAAAGTGAAAGTAGACAGAAGTGACAAGCAGATGAGGACTATGGACATCATGCCCTTCCTTCACAAGCTGAGGCCACCTTGAGGTTTGTACTTGGTTTTCAAAATTTTAAACTTGGGGCTGAGGCATAGTTCAATGGTAGAACACTTACTTGCCAAGCATGCACAAGGCCTTGGGTTCAATCCCCACAACTGACTCCTGCAAGTTGTCCTTTACATGCATGTGCTGGCACAACCACCCATACCCCCACACCTTATATACGGCTCCACCCAATACATACACGTGTACACACACACACACACACACACACACACACACACACACATCTAATATGAAAGGGACTCACATAGGTAACAAAGAAAAAAGTAAAATATGATCCAACTCACCTCTCTGGCTAACAGCTGGTTCTAAATATAATGGTTAAACTCTCAAGATCTTCACTCTTCAAATGTAGTTCTGTAAGCAGGGTGGCTAAAAACTGTGTGAATACCACATTGTTTGGAGACTGCTTCTGAATGCCAAGAATAGGTATCAATCTGAAACAACCAACAGTAGTAAATGTGTATGAAGGACGAGAAGGGCCGAGGGGCAGTCCTCTTCAACCCAGCATGGAGAATTTCCTGAAGGGGATGCAGTCTCTCTGATGCAACAAAATTCCCAGAGAAAAGCTTCACTAACAAGTCTCAGGAGAAGACTGAAAGATCAATGCTGTTAAATAAGGAAAGACATCAACAGGCCTGCCAGCATCTCATAACACATTCTTCATGATGCCAGCAAAAATTCTGCTTTATGAGGGGCTGGAGAGATGGTTCAGCAGTTAGGAGCCCTCCTTGCTTTTCCAGAGGACCTGAGTTCAGATCCCAGCACCCACATCAGGCAGATGATAATCACCTTTAACTCCAGCTCTAGGGGATCAGACACCCTACCCAGACCTCCAAGGGCGTGCGCATACGCAAGAGAGAGAGAGAGAGAGAGAGAGAGAGAGAGAGAGAGAAATACATTTAAAAAACTGAATAAGCTGGGTGTGGTGGTGCGTGCCTTTAATCCCAGCACTTGGCAGGCAGAGGTAGGCAGATCTCAGTGAGATCAAGGCCAGCCTGGTCTACAGAGTGAGTTCCAGATCGGCTGGGACTACAGGGAGACCCTGTTACAGGATCCTACCTCAAGATGAAAAACTATAGGCAATCAAGTAATACTGAGGGAGGGAGAATCAGTTTTCTCCCAGGACTAGCTCCCTGAGAGGTTATCTAATCAGTCCCAAGTTGGCAGCCCTAAACACAGGTACACATGGGCACCAATAATTGGACTCAGCGCATTATATACTCTCATGTGCATATTTATAAATGTATGTAGGTATATGTAACAATTATAAAGAAGGACAAAAAACTGAAAGGGAGTTGGGGGTGCGGCAGGACCTGGAGGGAGACTGGGAGGGATGGAAATAATGCAAATACAACACTCATTATGAAATTCTCAAAAATGAAGGTTTACTTATTTTTTTGGCCTTTTTGAGACAGTTTCCCTGTAGCCCCAGCTGGCCTGGAACTCCCTATGTAGGCCAGGCTGGCCTTGAACTCACAGAGACTGGCCTGCCTCTGCCTCCCGAGTGCTGTTATTAAAGGTGTACGCCACCACACCTGGCAAAAAATAGTTGTTTTTTTTTTTTCAAAAAAAAAAAAACAACTATAACACTTTAATTATCGAAACACCAAATATACAAATTACATATTACAAGGTATTTCATTCCAATTTCATACTTTTTTTTCTTAAATCAGTTCTGATAAATATCAAGATTGACTGTACAGAATGGAAACTTTAATTTTCATTGAAATGTAACCAGTATGCAAGATTTTTATTTCATTTAAAACAATTTTTTCGAGAAGGTTATGGACTGAAGCCAAGGCCTTGAACATGCTGGACAAGAGCTCTACTTCTCAGCTACATCCCCAATGCTAAGATCTTTAAAAGCATGCAATATAGGAGATTCAAGATTGCTGACTAGACAGCAATGCCCGGCACTCACCCCTTCCTCCCCAAAGAGCCAAAGCAACAGGTATGAATTTTGAGGTAAGTGACATGGGAGAACAGTGGAGAGCAGCAAGACTGGAACCTTGCAAGACACAGATACCTGGAACGGGAACAAGGTAAGGGAAACAGAACAGTCTTGTACTGCTACCCCAGCTCCACAGCCAGGGGATGAAGGAGTTTTTGCCAAAGTAAGGGTGGAAGAATCCCAGAAAACAATCTGTGTGGATACTGGCAATTCTAGTACTAGAAAGTTGACCATTTTCATAGGACCGAGACACCCTTGAATAAGTAATCTGAAATCTGCACAGTAGCCTTACTTTGGAAAAGGGTCCCATACCATTTCCCAGTGCTCCTTCATGGTACCATGCCAGGAGCCATCTTGAGAAGTCAGCTGTTATAGGAGTTTGGACTAACCTAGGGTTCAGAGAGAGACACCTGCACATTTCCATGTCTGGGCGTCCACAGACATTCCACTCACTGGCTTGGGTTTAGCAAGAACCAGGTGGAAGAACAAAGATTATTCAAAACAAGTAGATCACAACAGTATTAAGTGTTTTGCCTAACAACAATAACTTTAAATGTAAATTGATTAAATTCTCCATTTAAAGGATACAGACTGAGATGGTTATGCTGATGCTTGCCTGATATCTTAGCACAGCAGAGGCTGAGGCAGGCAATCCCCATGATTTCAAGGCCAGCTTAGGACACATAGTGAAACCCTGTTTCAACAAATAAAACTCTGCTAAATAGAAATAAACAAACTAAAAACACAAGCTGTCTAAATGGATTAAAAAATAAAGCCTACTGACATACCTGTAAGTCAGCACTCAGGAGCTCAATGCAGGTGGATTGTGAGTTTGAGGCCAGCCTGGGCTACTTAGCAAGACGAAAAAGTAACAGCAAAACAGACAGACAGACAAAAAACAAGACCCAACAATATGCTGCCTGGAAAAGACTCATTTCACCAGTAAAGACAGACAAAGTGAAAGGAAGGAAACCCGACACAAAGCAAGCAACAGGTTCTTTTCACCTGAGGAAGGAGACCTTCAACAAAAACTCTAAGAGGCCATTCTAACGAGTAATGAATTCAAGAGTCAATTCAATAAGAAAATTTAAAAATGGTAAATTTATATGCATCTAATGTTGGTGCACACTATCAGACCTACAAGAAGAGACAAGTGTCCAGTACAGTGGGAGACTTCAATACCCACTTTTATCAACTGGCAGAGTCTCCCCACCCAACCAAGAACAAGCAGCATTATATAGTACTCTGTACTATTTATCAAATGAACTTAACAGACATTTACAGAACAATGCTGCAGAATACAAATTCTTCTCATCAGCACATGGAGCTTCTTCAGAATAGATCACATATTAGCTCACAAAACAAGCCTTAACAAATTAAAAAAAAAAAAAGGAAATATCCATCTTTTCTGATCACAATGGAATAAAGCTAGAAGTCAACAACAATAACAAACCTCCAGAAATTGTATTCAAGAATAGAATTTAGCTCATATATGAAAACAAAACTTTTTCAACTACTTCTCAAAGTGCCATTAGTACTTAACCCAAAATTTTAAAGTTATCCATAAAATTAGAAATAAGTGGTGATTATCTGATGTCTCAATCTGTGTGCCCCTGCAAGAGCGCAAAGTGAGAAGCTGGAGAAGAAGAGTGTAAGAGAAGCCCTCTCTCAATACATTAGACAGTACTTAGGTACATTAACATCTCTCCAGCAACTATTAAGGCTAAAATGAACCTATAAAAGAATAACTTTATACAAGATGTGTTCAAACTAACCTAAAAGCTTTGTTTATAAAGAAAATCAGTGTTGCCAGGCGTGGGGTGCACACCTTTAATCCCAGCACTCGGGAGGCAGAGGCAGGCAGATCTCTGTGAGTTCACAGCCAGCCTGGTCTACATAGTGAGTTCCAGGACAGCTGGGGCTACAGGGAGACCCTGTCTCAAAAAGACCAAAAAGAAAAAAAAAAAAAAAAAAGAAAGAAAGAAAAAGAAAACCAGGGTTAGGAGAATCTACCTAGGAGGGAAAAAAAGAAAGCACCTATGTATTCTGCTCCTTGCTCTTAGGCTCATGGCCAACCCTACCTGTCAGGGATTTCTTCTTACTAAGCTTGGACCTGCCTTTAGAACTCTCAGAACACTCAGAAGCCACCTGGACTCTGGGGCTGGCTCCCGAGAAGAAGCCTATTTAACCCCCAGCCTAACAGCAAGCTCAAGGGAAGCTATTCATACAACGCAGGCTCAAGCCTAGCTTTGTCTGGAATGTCTGTATGATCCGAGGCAAGCTGAATCTCAAAGCTTAGGGTCTAGTTATAAAATGGTCTAGTAATATTTATGTACATTATTAAATGACTATTATAAAGTTCAAACTGGAAACTGCAGATGACCTCTCCATTATGACAATGACTATAATATCAACTACCATCTACTGTGTACAACCTACCAGTGTTTACTCTGTACTCAGTCTGAGCATAGGACTTCTTCAACTGTACAAGGACATGTATGGCTGCATCTCCCCATTTGTAAAGATTTAATTTTTTTTTTTTTTTAACACAGGTCTCCCTCTAGGTCCAGCTGGCCTGGAACTCACTATGTAGACAAGGCTGGCCTCGAACTCATGTTGTGCCCAGAGAACGGACCCCCAAGAATAACCACGGAATCCAGAGGGCATGCAAGAACAAAGAGTCTTTATTCGGGCTTAAGCTCAGGCTCTCAGACCTCACCAACGCAATGGATCTGTGCTGAGAGCCCCGATTGCAGGGGGAGGAAGCCTTTTATAGGTTTTAGACCAAGGGAAGAGGGAAATAACACAGTCACATCTTGATTGGTCCAAGAAGTGCGCGCGCTCATATGCCAACACACTTTTGAATTGATTGGTTACAAGGGATGCAGTCCTGGGGGTTTCTCATTGGCCGGTGCTACCCTCAGAGCTATGGAATGTACTGAATGTTATCTGTGAGGCCAGAAGTTGCTGTTCTTACCTTACAAGGCTGCTATATGCCTGGGCCTGCTTGATCTATAGCCTCCTGGGGTGGGGGTATAGGTGGAGATTACAACATGTCTGGACAGGTCCAGGCTTGCCTGAAACAACTAGTCAAAATGGGGTCAGTGCAGTTTGTACTCTCAGCCTAGCAATCAAACGAGAAAGAGCCGTTATTCCTAAAGAGGGGCAGGGGTCTCAGGAGTCCAGGGCAGGGGGCCACAGAGGAGGGTTTCACACTCACAGAGATTGGCAAGAGATCGGCCTGCCTCTGCCTGAGTGATGAGATTAAAGGTGTGTACCACCATGCCCAGCCTAAGATTTACTTTTATTATTTTTAATTATGTGAATATGTGTGTGTCTGTTGTGAGTATGTGCATGTGTATGCAGGTGCCGTGGATGCCAGAGGCACTGGATCCTCTGGAGCCATAGTTACAGATAGTTGTGAGTCACCCAATGTCAGTGCTGGGAACCAAGCTCAGGTCCACTGAAAGAGAAGTATATACT